AGGGGTGCAATCAATATCGCGTGCGGAAACACGAGCTGTCCAGGAGAAATTGATAAATTAGCTACTTAAGGGTTTAACAGTTGGACGATGGCGATTTATCAGAAAAAGGAAATTGCTATTAACGGCAAGATGGAAGTGATTTTGCATTATCAGATATGAAATCAGTAAGATTAGATTTTCAACTGTCTGGTACAAATAAATATCAAGATAATATTATTATTTTTGCAATCATTATTATAGGATTAAAAAGTAAATGCTCTCTGTTTTTGTTTAATTAGAAGCATAAAAAAATAATCAAATTCCAAAGAATGTATCGTATGTACACAGTATTCGTATTAGGGATGATAAATAGCGTTAAATAAATAGACATAGCTCTAAGGTAAATCAATTGCTTTGTTTGTTACAATAGTGTAAGCAGTGCGGTAAGGCTTTCAAACGGTCAAGCACGCTTAGTACTCACCTGCTGATCCATTCCGACACGAGGCCTTATCCCTGTCAATATTGTGGCAAGAGGTTTCATCAGAAGTCGGATATGAAGAAACACACCTATATTCATACTGGTGAGTTCTCATTAATTCAATCTACCACATGATTTTTAATGTATTAAGAACGAAATTGGGTAAATAATTCTCAATGAATTAATTATGCGCAACAAATAAAAAATTTACTTATATATCGATACTTAAAAAATTTTATTTATGAGAATGCATTTCTCGCTTTTTGCACAGATAAATTTATGAAAATGTATGTATATAACTTTCACTGTCCCAGATCACTTGATAATATATAGTTTCAAAAATGTATTGCATTGATCTTTTTGTCTCGTCAGCTTCAAACTTCCAAAGAGAGATTATAATACGTTAACCGGACAAAGCGAGGGACCATATGACAAAGTTTCGGCATACGAGGGTATTGCGTGAGCATCGATAATTGCGATCGTCAGTAACAAGCCTCTACTTTGTACATCTAATTTTTACGCTGCGACTATACTCGTATAAGTCCAAGTTTTGTCCTCGGAATTACAGCTTGTCGCATGTTCTCCCTTAAACTTCTTTCTCCGCGGTCTTCGACCAAATGTTGCTCTTGCATACCGCCGATCGATAACTACAATTGCTGGTAACGAGCTTCTGTCTTTAGTCTTTACATCCAAACGGAAGACGCAAAGCGAACAGTTAAAAATAGTTTCAATAGCAAGAGACACCGCGGTGACTTTTTCTCTTTACTACTAAATCACTGAAATATAATAATTAATTGATCTAACATATTATGTATTTTATCGTAGATACTTTTCGCTAACATATTAATCTCTTAAACAAATACTTGAAAACAAATGTATAATAATTTTGATATTATTGCAATTGTATGTTATTATAAATGTGTTCAATGTTTGAAATCATGATGTCATTTTTGTCTTAAGTTGTAGAATATCATTATTCTTTCATACTTTATTATGAATCTAAAAAGATGCATAATATTCTGCGCGTTACTTGGAACAAAAGACGCGCGATCGGCGTCCTCGGCGGGTGGTTTTCGAATTATTTATGAAGGCTGCCTTGTTGCCACCGTGGTAGACTATTTTGTACATTATTCAGAACATTAGTGTCCTGTGATCAGCGAAATATGTTCGGACATAAGTCGCGCAGGTCATGAAACAAAAAAAAACCGAAGTATCTTTATTCTTCTTTAGTTTTCGTGAATAACAAATGAGGTTTGCTAAAAAAGTTGATATCCCGATTTTATATACAAAGCGTATTTAAGTGAATCTATTAATCTCCATGAGGGCTTTGTGTTAGTCTCTCGAAAACGACATTTTAAGACAAATTAATAAAAAAAAACAGCGCTAAAAAAGTAATTGAAAAAATAATTTCATGGAATAGACTGAACTTTGATGGATTAAATTCGTTAATATATTTGTGAGAGATATGACGATTTCTTATAAATCAATAATATGTATATTATAATGCAGTTATTGATATAAAAAGATCATATAAATATCTCAACAAATTAAAACGCTTGTGAAATAATTTTTTTGCGCGCTGTAAATTAATTAAGATTTTAAATTACATTGTTAATACTACTCGATCCATTAGGCATAATACAGCTCGTATGCTATTTGCAGAGACACTATTTGCAAAAAGTCGCATTTGCTTGATGTGCGTTATCGCGTAAATGAGATTGCAACGCGCATCTGTTCGATCAAGTGCAACGAAAAACGGAGAGACAACGGACTTGCGACCACACCTTTATAACAACGCACACGCGTTTAAAATGTATACGATCCGCGATGCATCCTCAATAGGGTGTCTCCACGAATGTCGCACCCACGTCTCTACGCGACTGACCCTTTTCGCATATGAAAGAATCACGTAGAAGGCATATACGCGATACCAGGAATCGATATCGTGGCATCGCGTACTTTAGATAGAAGGGGGAAATAAAGGAGAGACAATGTATAAATCTATCTTTCGATATGTTCCTTTCATATCCAACGAGAGATCTTAAACGGAATCTTCAAAGCTCTTTTCAGAAATGTTCTTTGTAATAAAAAAAGATGATACTTATTCCGAAGTTGAATTGATATCTTTTACTAATGTTTATATACCTCGTGAAGAGAAACTATCAGCGCGTCGCGCGTAGTTAAACTTCAGCATTGCCATTTAATTTGTGATATAGAAACGCTACGATAAATGATAAAAGGTAAATCACTTGCTAAAATCTAGCTTATATGCAAAATGGCTGTCATCAAAATCGCTCTTCGCCGTTTCATTCGATAGTGGATAGGATAATTACCCTCTTTTACAATAAAAGCCAGAAAAAAAATGGATTGGCATGCAATCAGATTAGCTCCGGATTTGATTCATTCGAGGTTTGTATGTCGCGGAAGAGACCCAAACGCGAACACGCACATTACCCGCAATAAATATATCGGCAGATCATCAGGCTCTTTCATATGGAAATCGTGTCTCGTCACGCACATTCTCTTTCAGATGGTTATTTTTCTTTCTTTCGCCCGAACTAAAAATTAATCTGTTGCATGTGGCAAAATGTGTTGGAATGGATGATTATCGCAAAATTATGATATTTTGAGAACAGTTCTCTTAATTTATAAAGTAAAAATTCTAAATATTTTTTCTACATATATTTTTAAATAATTTTTCTGTTTATAAAAATTTAACCAATTAATTATATCATTTAATAATAATATATAATCATTTAATAATAATATATATTTTGTTTCAATAAATTTTAGTAGCGAATGTAAAAATGTTAAAAAGTGTAAATATGTATAAGTCATATTACGGTTTCGTGATATGGAATAAAGTAAAAAGAGAATGTATCATGAAATGAAATTTGAAATTTGTTCCTCGAACTCGATGTAAATTTACAAAATGATCCAAGATTAATATTTGATGAATCATTCGTGATATTGAAGGTAGCTTCCAAGAGGCGATTTGTTGCTGCGTACAAAGAGATAATCTGCAGATGGGAAACGTATTTGCATCGTACATCAAAAATGATATATCCTCGTATATATCCTCGCATCACCGAGTATACCTAACGAATGACCACACAATCGTAGCATGATTTTTCCACAACTCACTGCGGCCTATTATCGGTAATTTCTCGAGAGAAGAAAATAACTACTCGCCGCATCCTAACGATGACTTTTTTATGGAGATACGAGGATTTGTTGTTAAAATGATTACCTAGCCCTTTAAAATATTCATAAAAATGCAGTGTATTTTGTTTTGCTTTATGTGCGTTTTGTATTATATTCGCCGTTCTAGCGTTACTAGAATTATTAGAGGAAAATAAAAAAATCTTACAGTATATTTTAATATTTCAAATTGCCTACATGTTTTTACAGTAATAGAGTATTTTAGTTTATAAAGATAATTTTAAAAAATTCCTTAAAGATTTCTTTTTCTTCTAAGAAGATATACATAAAAATCAAAAGTAAAATTATTAATCTTTTTTTTTACACAAAATATGCCACATTTATTGTTGTCATAAATATAAATATAAACGTTCCAGTAAGATAATTATTTCCGTGAAAAAGCAATTAATCGAAAACAAACACGTTTGTTGTTGTATATAATTTTAAATATGGATGTCCCAGTAAGATAATTATTTTGATGAAAAAGCAATTAATCGAAAACATTTTGGCTCGCACATTAAGCCTTAAATTAAATCGCCCCATGTATCGAATAACGCGTGATTTGATCCAGTCCCCACTCTCGGTGTAAATTGCGGACCTGACCGTTTTTCTTAAGCGATTGTCCCGTAGCGAAAGCAGGACATGAAAGGAAGCGTCGATCGGGAGCGATAAGGACATATTTTAATGGCGATTTAATCAGCTGCCTCGGCCACGTTTTCTCGTGGAAACGGCCGGAAGGAGCGCATGCACGATGGGAAACGGTCTGTTTGTCGCGCAAAGCGAGTTTCCGGCACGCCACGTGCCCGACACGGGTCGTCGTGGGGCGTGCGTGTCCCGTGCTAATTAGCGGCTAAGAGAACAAGCCGCTCGTCGTCGTGGGTTAGGGACTACCGAGAAAGGGAGCAATAACACCCTCGAATGCTCGAGGAACTCTCTAGCCACTTTGTACTCTCTATGTTTCTCCGCGAAGGGTGAACGTAATGCGAATTTAATCGACCCTTCTCCCCATTGGGAGCGACTTTTCGCTATCAATTTTATTCTCTCTCGTAACGCAGCACCGCGATATAGGAATACTCCGGATTTATGTCTTAATTATATCTTCAAAGGGCAATGTAAAAGAATTTGATTAATTAAATTAGCCATCATCCAATTAAACAAACATTTTGTTTTATATAGAATAAAACCCAGAGTGTATCAATATAAATAATTTAAATTTAATCGAATGAACATATTCACGAGGAGCTTCTAAAACGCAGTATATTGCTTAAATTTGTTTCCTTGAACTCGTATAAATTTTGTATATATATATCTTTTTAGAATTTAATGTATTTCTTAGCTTCATGACTTTAATAATTAAAAATTTTATATTTTGGCAATGATATTTTTCACTTACTCGCAGTTTTTTACGTCGTTATATATATTTTAAAGCTAGTCAATATCTTAAAATGAAAGTGCAAGTAATCAGCGACACACAAATGTTTTCGCATTATAGGTAATGAAGGAAGATAACGTAAAATATGTGGGAAGTAAATGTGTTTAAATGTGTTGTTATCGTTTAAATACCTTCAATATACGAATCACCGATGTTTGCAACAATTTCCAGAAAAGCTTGTGCAAGCTTCAACGTCATCCAATTCCTTGAAATGTAATTGTGGGTGATAATGAACTTATTAAAGTTTATTATATACGTAATTTGTGGTTGAAATTTATGGCAAAAACTTGTATCTTGAAGTGACTCAGTTGAAAAACATTTGATACTATCCATAACAATACTAATGCTAGTGACAGGTTCGTGCAAGGTGACATCATCAGCGAAGTAAAATCGATCGACGCAAAAATTTTTACGTGAAAACTATGAAGGTGAAAAAATTGAAAGAAAAATGATAATTGCAGATAATTGCA